ATATATATAAGATACACATAACAAGATGCACACATAATATTAATTAAAAGTACAGTATAGTCTACTATGTAATAACAAAGGATTAATGGGTTAAAGAGGAATGTAGAATTTGCCAAGCAATAATTGGAACAAATAAGACAAGACATAGAAGATGTGATAGTCTCTGATCTTGAATTAAGAGAGCAAATGAATTACTAATCAGCTATAAAGGTACTGTGCAAACAGAGCGAGCCTTCTACTCACAGATTAGAAAGTTAGAAAGTATAGAAAGTGCAGGTTTAGTTCGAGTTAATATCACAGAATACATAAGACACAGAATAAATAACACTTCATGCAAGTTATTTGTGTAATGCATGTCACATGAGTACGAACATAGAGTCTATATTTAAACACCGTCTATAAGAATGCTCTCATGATGGAAAATTATATTTCTAAAGATGTATTTGTTTGGCATATACTAAATATATTTTAACAATATCATTATTCATTTTCTAATCTTTTGTTGTATTTAACTGAATTATAAATATTAGAAGTTTGTTTTTACTTTCCCTGTTATTACACTGGTATATAACAGAGGGAAAGCGTGGCGATCGGCAAAAAGTGACCCTCAAAAAACTTTTACATTTTTTGGACTCAGGGAGAATTTGAAATGCCGAGAAATGCAGAAAAATGTGTTTTTTTTTTTTTTTTCCTGTACGTATGGAAGTTAGTGTGTGAATGGGAGCACGATTTTGTTTACTCACTTTGGTGAACAAAATCGTAATAACTTCTGTGAAGCTTGTTAATGCTGTCCACGGCTTAATAGAGAGGTTGCGGCCGAAGTTTTCATCTCTCAAACGTGAACGCCGAACGTCGAGCGCCGCAATCTTGTAAGCGGTGTTCGACGTTCGAAGTTCACGTTTGAGAGATGAAAACTTCGGTCGCAACCTCTCTAATAACACCTGTGTCTTTTGTCTAAAATCTCTGAAATTTTACAGGAAGGTTTTGTGTATTACGGAGATTGAAACTATTAAATTTTGATGGTTAATCATCGAGGGTGTGAGGAACAAGAAGTCAAACAAACGTCTAATTACAAACGAAAATGTTGGAAAATTATCTGAATATATACTAGTGGAAATATGACACTTATGTTTATAGTAAATTAAATCAATATTCTTCATCATATGATTACGATTATCAAGTATAACATTTCCATAACATTTTGTAAAATATAACTGTGCTTTCATTTGATGGTATCTTTGAAATGAATTTTTTCTACATAATTTCTTATTCATAATTATTTTTTAGAATAATTGATTACGTAAATAATTGGAATATTTTTTAAATAAAACCACATGAAATAAATTTTAAATAGGGTTATCTTGTATATATTCCCCCACTTACCTACGATTAATACACGCTGCGAAACTGTTTTCGTGAGTATGCCGAACTGGCTTTGGATGTCCGGTGCTTCCACTCGTAAAATATATAAGCATTGTGTCATTTATTTTGGTTTTAACAATCTAAATTTATGTAGATTCAATATATATAAATATAGAAAAATTAATATGATCGTTACTTAATTAAACATGCGTTTTAATATACATTAACAATACAGATAGGCTATAAAAAACTAACCTCNTAAATATTAATAAGTATTAATTTATAATGAAATAAGACGTACAGTACAGTACCTGATCAACTCTTTCAGATGTTTCCCAATCTGCGACTATGCATTTAGCTTGAATTGAATTAATTCTATAAAGGATGTCTTTACTTCTTAACTGAGTGGTTCCTGGCGCACTTACAATTCCTGAAATAAAAAATTAATTAAATAAATCTCTTTCAGAAATATAAACAAATATACATTTAAATGTTATTTTTTACTTTACCAATATGGAAGGATGCCAATATGGTTATCTTGTATATATTCCCCCACTTACCTACGATTAATACACGCTGCGAAACTGTTTTCGTGAGTATGCCGAACTGGCTTTGGATGTCCGGTGCTTCCACTCGTAAAATATATAAGCATTGTGTCATTTATTTTGGTTTTAACAATCTAAATTTATGTAGATTCAATATATATAAATATAGAAAAATTAATATGATCGTTACTTAATTAAACATGCGTTTTAATATACATTAACAATACAGATAGGCTATAAAAAACTAACCTCATTTAACGGCGACGAATTTTTATGAACACTTTTCAAATCTATCCAACCTTCTTTCTTTCTAAAAAATAAGAAATTTTAAATATTTATAAGATTAAAATGTTGAATTTTTGTATTTTATAAATATTATTTAATAAAAAAATAAATTTTAAATTACTGTTTTTCAGAACAAAGAATTTTGCAAGTCAGTGATGGACAGTTCTTTGCTATCTAAAAATACATAAAAATTACAATAATATTTTTATTTTAAACTTTTAAATTATTTTATATTTTAGTAGTAATCGCAGCATTATTATATATATTTTGTAAAGCTTAATGTTTATTTTTTTTTGTTTTAAAAATCACTGCAATGGCTTGTAGATTATACTAATCTACAATTCCATCCATGAGGAGGTTTCTGAAACAAAAACTCATCACCTAGACTTACAAATATATTAAATATTGTTAATGTAAACCGTTTTTTTTTACTCAACAACCTGCGGATTATCCGTTACAGTGTTTGAAATTTGCCATTTTAAAAAGTTCCTAGATATTTCTTCAAGCACTATCACAACTTGTAATAAGCATTTGTTTCAGAATGTTTAGTTTTTCTGGTGACTTCTTGTAATGTTAGCCTTGTTTCTGCAGGTGTTGAAACATCTGTATATTTCAGCATCTGTTTAATAAAACTGAACGTTAATTGTTTATTAACGTATGGCGTAAAATCATGTGCTAAAAAAACAGCTGAATGTTCGTGTCTTTCTATATATTGTACTTTTTTTTATCATACAATTGAATAAATGGAATAAAATACAGAACTTATAATTATATTTTTAATGCAAAAAAAAAAGGTTAAATATTGGTTTGATTAGATTTTATGGGTGAGGCAACACAACACATTTTTCTCATTTTGCAAGCAGATAAAATAGACGTAATATCCTTATAGGTTCTGTAATATTTAAAAGTAACACAATATTAAAATTATATTAAAAAAATATAGTAATAAAACAAAATAATAATACATAATATTATTTTTTCACAATGTTTACATCATATTGTTTTGTAATACTGTGTTGCTATTTTTACTTCTTTTTTTCAGATATTTTTAACTATAACATAGGTCAATGAACTTTAAAATATATTTAAACGTTAACGTATTTAAGCAATAATATTTTTTAAAATGATTTAATAACCGTTGAGATATCAGAAGAAAGAATAACAATACAATCGTGATTGCAAATCCACCTCACTATTCTGAATTCCTTTTAGTATTCTGAGTAGTCAGAGAATTAAAGAGAAAAAACAACAAAAAAATAATAATAGGAACGGTTTTAATAAAGAATTGTCTGTGTTTGTAGTAAAAGTTTAGCATTCACTTTACAATATCCTTTTCTTTGTAAGGTGTTTCCTTTACAATACGTTATAAATATATTCCCGCAACTGAAAAGTTTTATTGTAGGTTCCTATGGAGGTTGGGTCACGGAAAATTCAAAAGTTCAATCTTACGAAATTTGTTATAAAGAGTATTTTTGACGATTCGTGCATTTTTTAAAGTTTTATAATTATTAAAACTCAGTCGAATCTGCATTGGTCCAAAATCTGTTTCGACCAATGCAGATTGGAATGTAACGTTGGTCCAGCAATTGAAATCGACGTTGATCCGATGCTTCTGAGAAAGGGCACGGTGATCAATACCAACATTAAGCCAACAATTTCAATCGACACAGACCCTATGTTGTCAATGAACATTAGTACAATGTTGCCTACATAAAAGGAATTTAATTATACATTACAATACCATGTTGTTGCATGTTGTGTCTATCTACCCCTAGCCAACAATCATATTACAACTGTTACAATTCTGATCCAATCGATTTTATAGATCAGGGTTTCCCAACGGGATCAATATTGACCCGTTAGGAATCAATAAAACTTTGTAAATATAAAAAATGTATTCAAAAATGTTTAAAATTTTACACATTTTTTAAATAGGGAAATACCTTTTAAAACTAATAAATATTAATAAGTATTAATTTATAATGAAATAAGACGTACAGTACAGTACCTGATCAACTCTTTCAGATGTTTCCCAATCTGCGACTATGCATTTAGCTTGAATTGAATTAATTCTATAAAGGATGTCTTTACTTCTTAACTGAGTGGTTCCTGGCGCACTTACAATTCCTGAAATAAAGAATTAATTAAATAAATCTCTTTCAGAAATATAAACAAATATACATTCAAATGTTATTTTTTACTTTACCAATATGGAAGGATGCCAATATGATCAACCACCATTCTGGTATTTTCGGAAGAATAACAATCATTTTATCGTCTCTTTCTAAACCCGATGACTTCAAAACTTGGGCCATTCTATGCAGATTATTCGAAATATCTTGATCATTAGAACTAATTTTAATTTACCAATATATCAATGAAAAACTTTTAAATTTACTTTAATTATAATATGTTCGGTTATTCATTAATCAAATAAATAAACTTCAATACGAATTAACTCACTTTTTTGTTTGCAAAACAAGGTCTTGAAAACTCCATTTTAATTCATTATTCTTTTCATCAACATACCAAAATGCTGGCATTTCTTTTCTTTCAAACTTCTGTAAAGTTTCATTTTTAAATGACAATTATATATTTATAATTTATATTATTACATCAGCACATTACGAAGCGACAAAAGAAGCCAAAACAGCAATTGATAATAGTTGATACATTGATAAGTTCTAGAAGTTTTGTAACTTAAGATATTTTAATCTTACTACGGATGTGATTCACGGTTATTTATGATATTTAAGACAGAAAACACTAAGGAACAAAAGAGATTTAAGCCCTTTTTAAAAACTTTCCATTTAAGTGACACTTCAATTGACAAATGGTATTTTTCTTATTTGTAATATACAGTATTTTTCATTAATAATTTAGATTTTAGTATTTAATGGAACCTTTCTCTATCTGTCTTTCTGGTTGATGTTTGTATTAGTGAACTTCCAAATGAGAACCCTTTTCTTTATGGTTGTTCCCCTGATAGTTTAGCTTTTTTAATTAGAACTTAAGTATTTCGTTTGAGATTTCTGATGCTTGTTTTTTCGTTTGTTGGTCGTTAGTTCAGAATCAAGAACATTTTGAGTTCTTGCAAGTATCAAAAGTGTTGGTATTACTAGCCATTGTTCTGCGAAGTATGTTTGATTCCCGACATCCGTCAAAATTTGCAGTGAAATAATGCGCAACACCTATACAACTGTTATTAAGAAGCCTTTAAAAAAATTAATTACATGGTATTAAAAAATACATTGTGTAATTACAGTATATCAGTCATAATATATCTTCGTTACACATCATCAAAACAATCAATTGATATCGTCAACATGTTTCCAAAATCATAACTTTAACCAAAAACAATTGGTCTCACGGTAGCAAAATTTAAAATTTGATAATAGAAATATAATCTTGATCACTTTTGATACCCCAATTCAGGGCCCCTTTTATCCTGGGGCTTATGTCTCTGCACTCGTTGAACCTGCTTAGTTACGACACTGAATACAGAGCCAAGTACTAAGCAATGATAACAATCCAGTAGGACACAATCCATCCACAGCAATGCTGTTATTATTAGCTAATAATGACATAGCATATAGTGCTGCACATTTTATACACTAAAACAATGCCTTTCGGCATACAACTCTTGACGTTAATTAATCATATTTAAAAGTCATATTCATCAATTAATCAATACTTCTTTTATCTTTCCTGTTAATTCGTTCTTATTAAGACTGCAAATACTTTTGCACTCTAAAATAAAAGTATATACTGTACTAAATAATGTAAACAATTTATAAAAGTAAAATATACAATTTATATTTGAGAAAATACGTTCGTACTTTGTTTTATGCAGATTAACTTTATCAAAATAAGTCTTAATTCGTTCTGGTGATTAACAGAAACTATGATATGTTTCTATATATTAATTCAGTGTTTAAAATACAATACGAGGCGCAAGTGACACTTGTTTTGAGGCCGTCAAGAGCGAGTAAAAATGCTTAAAATCTTAAATAATTAACCATATTTATTACTCGTAATCTTTTGACTGATTAAATAATGTTTATTTTGTATCAAACAGTTAATAAGTGTGTGCCAAACTATTGATCATATTGTAAATAACATTACTTGAACTAACGTTTATAGAACAGATGTCAATGACAGCTCATTCCTGCAAATGGGTCATACTTATTGTAGTAATTATACAATATTCTTTAATTATAAAATAAATAAAAATAAATAAATAGTTATACTTATTAATTTCTGGTTAGTGATAAAATAAAATATATTATCATGCTGATAAAGAAAAATAATATAAACGTATTAGTGTCTATTATTTATTTTTTCTATAGGCCTAAGTAATTAAAGTAATAGAGCATATAAAATTTGTATATTATATAACTTACTTTTTCCTTCGATTCCCAGCATTGGATAACATCTTGAAAAAAATTAAAATATTTAGGGGCTTGCTTGGTTTTGTTCCATTCTTCTTCTACATCGGTTATGTTACAATTGAGTAATTTCGTTATTCTTATAGGATTATAAAGTTTAACTTGAAAATTCACCCTCCATAATTGTTTGAAAATACAAACCATTTTACTTTTAATTAAATAAGATAACAAGAGAACTTGCAAATTCTGATAAGCAGTCTATTGTAAAAAGTTTTGTGTTTCAATGACAATCGTTTATCGCTCTCTGACTTGATTTTTAAAGCAAACCTATATTTGTCATTATAATGGGCGTATTCTTGATTACAGCTATCGTATTTATCGTATAGTTGTAAAGCAAGTCTGAAATTGGATACAGGTAACAGGAAATGATGTTTTATTACGTAATAGTGGTATTTTTAAATTGATTCACGTGACAAAGCTATAGGGAAACGTCATTTACAGATCACATAATCCTGACAGCTAAGATATATCTGCGTGGAGATGATCGTAAAATAAAAGTTATGTATGGCATCATCTGTTGCTTCGATAACTTCTGTGAACATAAAAAAAAAAAAAAAAGATTAGAAAACAAGTACAAAATAATAATCTCATTTCTCGGTTTTTGAGCTAGTTTTGATGTAAATGTGAAACAGTTTTTCTGTATCAGTGTTTCGCTTATTAAATACGTTTATTCCTAATTTTTTATCTTCTTATTACAAATTTCTGGCATTAAAAGCTTACATCTGTTAATTAAAACCATAACTTTTTTTAAGGCTAAGCTTTCCCCCCTGCGAAAACAACGAATCATTTCAAACTCTAATAACCCCTTGAGTAAGCCTCAGCTGACTTCTGGAAACATTTGAAGAGTTCGACAATCACAGTACTATTTTCTAAACAGTTTATAATAAAAGTGTCAAAATAAACAAATAGGCTATTAGATACAAGTCCCGCCGAACGACATAAAAGCGCTCCAGCACTCCATTTGTTGTCACATTCGGTGTGTAGATTGTCTTGTCCATGTTTTGACCCACCACTGTCCTGCCGGACCGCGAAAAAGCGCTCCGGCACTCCACTTGTTGTCATAATCGGTGTATAGGTTGTCTTGTCCGTGTTTTGACCCACCACTGTCCCGCC